CCCAGTGCTGGGTGCTTGAGGTGTGGCGCCAGGGGCACGCTGATGCACAGGCACTTCGACTGCCCGTGCTGGAGTGAGGTGCTGACCGTCCCAGAGGACTTGGCAGGTCTCCGAAGGCAGAGCGGGAGGCCTGAGGTGCAGCTGCTGCTGGAGAGGTGCCTGTGGCCGACACCACGGGGCATCCGCCGCCCGCCAGTGTGCAGCGACGTGTGCTGGAAGGGCGACCACGAAGGAGGCACCCTTCCTGAAGGCGAGCTGTTTCTCGACGGCTCGGCGTTCGAGGCGGACTACGAGGAGGTGGCGGCAGTTGGCTGGAGTGTGGTGGCGCTGCAGGCGCACAGCGACGGCTACAAGGCCTCCATCGCTGGCCAGATGGAGGGCCACTGCGTGGACATCAACGGCGGGGAGCTCACGGCGGTGATCATGGCGCTCAGGTTTGGCCAAGGGGTCACGGTGCTGGTGGTCGACTCCAAGTACGTGTACGACGGATTCTACAAGGTCGGCAGGGTAGGCACCACGGGCTACGCGTACACGTGGGCGCACCTGTGGCGGCGAGCCTGGGACCTGCTGGACGAGCGAGGAGGTCTCGGGCATGAGGTCAGCCTCAGGTGGATGCCCAGCCACAGTACGCGGCGGCAGGTGGCGGCAGGCGAGGTGCTGTACAGAGATTGGTACGGCAACCGACTGGCTGACAGGGCGGCAAAGGCTGCGGCGGCCAGCGGGCGCCTCCCCGCGCGGGACAGAGAGCGCCTGGAGAGGAGCCGAGACGTGGTCGAACGAGCAGCCATGTGGTGCGCGGCTGTCGGCAGCTGGGTCGACGGCAGCGACACCACGCACGGCAAGACGAAGGTGCAGCGAGCCCTGCCAGTGCGCAAGGAGCCAGCGGCGAGGATGGCCTGCGTCTGGCGGAGGCTGCCTGGCCAGCGTCCCTGGTGCGAGGTCTGCAGATGGTCAGGCAGATCAGGTGAGTGTCCTGGCAGCATCGTCGCCGAGGCGATCAGGGCCAACAACAGGCTGAAGGCGCAGCAGAGGGCGTCGCACGACCTGGTGCTCCTTGCGCCTGTGGATTGGAGGATGCTGGTGCGCAGGATGCCGCTGGTCGCTTGCAGGGCGTGCGGCTTCACAGGCGCGGCCAGAGCGAGCTCCTTCCACCTCGAGTGCAGGAGTGCCCCGTCGGCTGCAGGTGCCGCCGCAGTCGCGAGACTGAGGAAGGGGCTGGCTCCGAAGGTGGTCAGCGAGGTGGCAGTCAACATCACGGTGCTGGCGGACGACGTGCAGGAGGGGAGAGGGCAGTCGCCGCGGGACATCGCGGAGGAGGAGGACGGCCACTCCTTGAGGCCGCCAGGAGGAGCTCCAGGTGGAGGGGCAGGGGAGGATGCGGGCTCACTGCGTCCCCTGACCCCTGAGGGCTCCAGAGCGGCGGCTGGCCTGAGAGGACGAGCTGGCGGCAGGTGTGCGGCCGCGGCGCACCAGGCCGAGGCAGGAGACGAAGCAGGGCCTGCGGGCGGCGGCGGAGGGCCACGCCCGCGGCGCCGCACGCGTGTGCGCAGCAGATCGCTGAGGCAAGCCGCGCTGACGCCGCCCTCGAGGTCGCCGATGCGGGCGGCCAAGGTGGCCAAGCTGCAGCAGGAGGAGAGCCAGCGGACTGAGGCGGGCCCTGCAGAGGGAGGAGACGAGGTGGCCACAGGTGGCAGCGGCGGCGGACCGCCCCCGCCGATGATGGCGAACGACGCGCAGGAGGTGAGAGGCCAGTCGCCGCAGGACGTCGCGGGGGAGGAGGACGGCCACGCCTTGCGCAAGCCAGAAGGAGCTCCAGGTGGCGGGGAGGACGCGAGCTTGCTGCGTCCCCTGACCCACGGGGGCTACCGCGGTGCGGCTGGCCCGAGAGGGCGAGCTGGCGGAGGGCGTGCGGCCGCGGCGCGCCAGGAGGCCGCAAGAGGAGAGGCAGGGCCTGCAGGCGGCGGCGGCGGGCCAGGCCCGCGGCGCCGCGCGGGTGTGCGCAGCAGCTCGCCGAGGCAGGCCGCTCCGACGCCGCCCTCGCTGGCGCCGAAGACGGCGGCCGAGGTGGCCAGGCTGCAGGAAGGCAGCCAGCGGCCTGAGACGGGCCCTGCCGAGAGAGGAGACGAGGTGGCTGCAGGTGGCAGCGGCGGCGGACCGCCCCAGCCACGCGAGGCCAGCGGAGTCCAGGTGCTGGCGGACGAAGCGGAGGACTACAGCGCAGCGGTTGGCCCGAGCGGGCGAGCTGGCGGCAGGCGTGCAGCCGCGGTGCGCCATGCCGCGGCACGAGGAGAGGCAGGGGCTGCGGGCGGCGGCGGAGGGCCAGGCGCGCGGCGCCGTGCGCGAGTGCGCAGCAGCTCACCGAGGCTGGCCGAGCTGACGCCGCCCTCGCAGTCGCCGGGGCGTGTGGCCAAGGTGGCCAAGCAGCAGGACGAGTGCCAGCGGCCTGTGGCGGGCCCTGCACAGGGAGGAGACGAGGTGGTTGCAGGTGGCAGTGGC